ATTTATGGACTTAGACTCACAGAATCATAGTTGGGAGGGGCCATACAGACCCAGCCTTGTTGGATGTGTGAATTCAGTCTTGGAAACTGGCTAGATGTAGGCCTGTAGCTAGTCAAAGGTACCTACAGTTTGGTGTAGTGGTTAAGTGTGCGGACTCTAATCTGGGAGAACCGGGTTTGATTCCCCACTCCTCCACTTGCACCTGCTGATGTGACCTTGGGTCAGTCACAAGCTCTGGCACAGCTGTCCTTGGAAAAGAGCAGTTTGTGTCAGAGTTCTCTCAGCCCCACCTACCTCACAGAGTGTCTGTTGTGGGGAGGGGAAGGGAAAGGCATTTGTAAGCCGCTCTGAGACTCCAAGTGAAGGGCGAGGTATAAATCCAATCTTTTCTTCTTCTTCTTCTACAAGTAGTCCCTAAAGACAAATTTTATTTGTTAAATGTTGTCAATAGTTCATATTGGCTTTGTTAAGGAACATTTCTACTTATGTAAAAGTACTTATTTACTGACGCTTTATGTTGATGATAGTAAGATGAAATACTTTTATTTTAGTTGAGAAACAAAACCCAGAAACACAAAACTGACCTAGAGTTGTTACCTCCAGGTTGGGAAATTCCTGGAGATTTGGGGGTGGATCCTGGGGAGGAGAGGGACTTCACCAGGGTACAGAGGGGGTCCACCCTCCAAAGTGACTGCTTTCTCTAGGGGAACTGACCTCTGTAGCCTGGAGATCAATTGTAATGCCAGAAGACCTCCAAGCCTCACCTGGAGGCTGGCAATCTCCGGATGATAAATGTTTGGACTCTTAGTCTAATCAAAGGTGCCACTGTTAACTGAGTAGAACAGTAGGATACAACCAACTGAAAACAATGTATCTTGCTATGAAAAAGATAAATTGTGAAACGATAGTAAAAAAGGGGAATCAGTGACGGGAAAAGCAGGGTGGGTGAAGGGGTTGGTGACACCTTCCCTTGGTGGCACCAACAAGGAGCTTTACTCCAAGGAAAGAGGGGCTCAGTCTCTTGCACTGGAGGAAGGCTTCTTACACTGGAAGGAGGTACCACCATTTGCTCAGCAGAATGGTAGAATATTACCCATCGTGTTGAAAATCAATTATAAACACGTGGTTTATGATTTGATAAATATGTGGTTTTTGGGTGATCAGCAATGCAAGCTGAATTAGATGGTTGTTTGTAATATCAAATCACCCTCTAATAATATTTTGATTTGGTTAAGGTCCAAATATTTATCATCTCGATGCATTTGGTCGCAACTTTTTGGTCAGAATGCTAAAAAGTGCGAGCTGCCTGATTTCTCATTGGACTGCACAGAGGAGACTGTCTATATTGTGCATAAACAAAAAGGCGAGACTTAGGCCCGATTCTCACTTGGATGGCAAATCAGTGTCTGCGCTGGTCCACTTTAGACTCAGCATTCACATGACTGAATAGTCCTCCATACAATATCTCACTAATGCCTAGAGAACACGTCTATATGCAGGATTTTCATTTTTTAATGGAGAACCATTCAATCACAACAAATGCCTCAGGGAGAACAAAACTTTAGCCCAGGATCAACGATCCCAAGAATACCCCTGTGGAGATCCCACGCAGACTTCCTCTCCTCCTCCCCTGCCCTTTTCCCAGCCTGCAGCTGGGTGTGCCATCGCTACATTAGATGCACAGAGTAATGTTCTTGGCCCGATGAAAGCCACTTCCAAACCTCATCGAAAAGGAAACAATGGGACTGACACCCAAGTAACTGTTAGGGTTGCCAGCCTCCAGGTGGGGCCTGGAGATCTCCCACTTTTACATCTGATCTCCAGGTGACAGAGATCAGCTCCCCTGGATAAAATGGCTGCTTTGAAGGGTGGACTCTATGGCATTTTACCATGCTGAGGCCCCTCCCCCCACCCCCACAGTCTCCAGGTATTTTCCAACCCAGACCTGGCAACCCTAGTAACTGTCTAGATTCACAGTTCCACCTCAAGGCCTGCTGATCCCAGTGAGCCTTGGGCATGCCTGACTTCCTCTGGATTGCACCCATTGTATTACAAATGGAGTTGTGCTATTACATCATAAATCAAGAATTAGACCATGAAGGTAAGAAGCTTGTCCAAAAAACCTCAGAATGACTTGTGATTATTCTGCAGACATGGGAGCTTCATAAGAGCTGGCTACACTGGATAAACTATCTAGATGAAGAAGAACTGCAGTACAGCACTAGATATCATTATCGGGTACGCTGGAGCATCCCAACCTGTAGGAAGCCCATCCCCCGAGCAACAGCAAATGTCTATTTCATCATAGAGATTTCCAAAATCAAACCGGTTGTAAGTATTCTGATTCTTTCAGCCTCTTCTCTTCTGAATATACACAGTACAAGCATTCCTAGAGTGCCTTAATAAAGATCTGTCTGATCCCTAAGCCTGGTCATTTGCAGCAATCTGATGACATCCATTTCCTTCTATAAATCTGTAAGCAACTGAAACCAAGCCCTTAATCATTTCATCTGTAGTAGCAGCAACCAAAAAAGGTTTGAATTTTGGGGAATAAAATTGATAGAAACTGAAGGGGGGGGGAGTTGATTGCAAACAGGGCTTGGATTCTCTAGAACTCCCTCTTTGTATATCAGAGCATATTATGTACCGGGTCTTCTTACCTGAGAGTATGTGGCCATTACTTTTCCAGGATTGTCAGTTTCCATGAGGACTAAAAAGCCTTGTATACCAGGGGTTTCTTGTAGTAAAATCAAACCCTTAAGATCTCATTGTGTTAACCATCTATTTTGATATCTATTGCAGACATTACCTGTTGAAGTATTCTTTGTAGTAGAGACAAACAGGTTCATACACAGGTAGATATTTTCCTGTAATTACTTAAGTGTCAAATAATTTATACTTACACTATGTTCTTGTGTATCTATCCATATTGGAACCTGCTTCATGTTTTGCTATTGATAAAATCATCTTATATCAACAGATCCAACAGGAACACAATTCCAGCTAAGTAAATCTCATGGATTTGTAATCATACTTATCAGTGGGAGTGGGGGTGGATAGAACCCCTCTCATGCAAAAAGTTCTAAACAAACAGTTTCTATTGGATCCATCCAGCTTTTCCCTTCAATTGCACTTCATTCCCTTCCTTCCTGCCATCCTAGTCCTGCATACCTTTTGTCAATGCAGGTTCTATCATCTCCAGCCTAGCCTTCTGGGGGGGGCTAATCCTCTCCGTTTCACCAGTAGAAAAGCTGGTTAGATCCAACTCTTTGATTTGCTGGAATCCGATGTGTTTTATTCCATGAAAATAACCACTGTTGCCTTTTAATGTTTACAGATGAACTTGCTGCTACTGAGAGATACAGTAACAGCAATCATTCAAGACCTTAGCAATTGTTATTTGCAACTTTCATTTACTGATATAAATAGTCCTCACCATTAAATTCACAGATGAAAGCAGAATATTTTGGTTAGGCTCCATGAGTTTAAATAATTACAGAGGGGTAACCCTGTTACAGGGTATCCTAAGCAAATCTATAACCTTTGACTTCAATGGACTTTGAAGGGTGTAACTATGCTTAGGATGGCACAATTAGTATTAGAACAATAACTAACAAAATTTATTCCACCATAAATATTTGTGAGTCAGAGCTCACTTCATCTGATGCATCATACATCCATTGCAGCTATACTTATGCTAAAGGTATTACAGATGGCTACTACATGCAATTGATTTAATGAGCTCTGACACACCAATCTTATGCTAGGATAAACAGTTAGTTTTTAAAGCACTACTGGATTCCTGAGTTTAAATAGCTCCCAACAAAATTTGGCAACTTTTCCAACTTCTCAAACCAATAATGAAATACATTTAGGAAAATGTATTAACTTTGAAATAGTCTCTCTGTGTTGAGACCCACATACTGGTTAATTCTGTGGAGAAATTGCCCCAGACTGAAACCCGCAAAAGTTACAGATAATTGCTTGGATATAAGCAAGGAAAACATCTGCGTGGAAAACTTATGTTTGGCAGATGTTAATAATCCCAAATGTTGCACACTGTTGGTTTTTATCTGCTCAGCAGCTTTTGATGCCTTTCGGCAACTTAAAAAGTTTACCTCTAGTTCTTCTATCAGAGGAAAAACCTCTTGGAGGAAAGCTTCAAATACTGCAGAGCAGACTGGTTGGATAGAGGTGACTGCTTCCTGACCTTCTATATCTGGTTATATTTCACACAGGAATTGTAAGAAATAGCAAACATTGTTTACAATGGATTAAGTTTTGGAATACAGTACCACTGCTCTCTCAAATTTCCCCATTTTGTCTTTTGTAGGCCAGGAGAGTGCAGATTTAAAGAAAAGTGGCTCAAAGATGTAATTGAAAGCAAAGTCACCCTGATGGAAACGGTCAACTTTTAGTTCAATTACACATTAAGACTTCTATTTGTCTCTGTTTTGTTCAATAAAAGTTGTTTTTATAATCAGTTTTCCATTTTTGACCTCTCCACGTTCCTCCAAATAGCTAATTCAGCTATCACACAGATAACAGAGCAGAGAAATACAAAAAGTGTTGGTTTCACAGAGGAAACACACACTCATCCTCAACCAAACACCAAAAACCAAACCAGGAAGGATGAATCCTCATGGCAGCCAGAAATCCCTGTTTACTTCACAATTTGAGCCTACGTAGGCAGAAGTAATCAAGTCCAGAATAAGCAGGAACCAGACTGAGTTTGTACATTATCAATAATGAAGTTTTTTCTACATGAAATACCTTGACTTTCAGTCCTTGTTTAAGAACTGCTCACTATCCCCCATTCCAAGGTCAACAATGAATCTTCAAATGACAACTACTGCCTTCAATGTTATTGGAAGGAGACAGTGACTTCCTTTTTCTTCTACTGGCAACATGCTAAAAAAATTCAGAGACTCGATCAGCGCTTCAGCATGGCATACCACAAATTAAGCAACATCACAACACAAAAATAACCAGGTGTACCCAAGAAAATGCTTTATTTAAAAATATACATATTTTGAGAAATAAATACTCAATTTAGCAATGAGGGAGCTATTTGGAACACACCGGTCAAAGCCCCCCCCCCCTTACCAGACTGCAGCTCCGCCCTTTGTGTTGGGGGAACTCCTGAGGTTCCCCTGAATTTCAGGAGCAGCTTGGTAAGTCATATGGGAAACTTTCAGAAGCAGTGGTGGCCCTACCCAGAAATCATGACACTCACCCACATCAACCATGATTCAGATGACTATGCATCAAGAAACAGAGTATCCAAAATAAAAATGTTAGGTTTACCCCACCATGCCACCCCTCTACACAGCAAAACATTATTTACACAATGTCAGGCAGTAAAATGGCTACTTTCTTCAAGCAGTTCTCAATTCGTAAAATTATAGACCAGGATCCCAGTATTGTATGTTAAATATATACATATATTGATTATGACAATTCCAAAGTGAGGAAACCAAATATACAGGAATCTATAAAATTAAGTCACTCTGCTCTATTAAAATAAGAACACAACAAAAGATGCTAACCAACCTCATCTGTTCTAGGGAAGAATGTTCAAGAGGGGATGCTCCTATTAAGAGCATTGCTGTTTTATTGGGCCCACGGGATTAGAGTGAATCTATTTAAGTCTCTGGTCCAATAAAATATATCACTTCAATTCCTTGTCTGTCACAGACTAGGTCCAGCATTAACCAAGAATATACTACAAGACAGCTTGTCTTTCAGAAGCCCATTTATTTTATTTTTGGTTTTGTTTTGCTGTCATGAGCTTCAGCTACTGTGCTGTTCGAATTTTAAGAAAGGTGTCATTTCTCCAGCAGTGAGCAAAATATCCAGCCATGGCAGTATATCTCACCACCTTCCTGGCAATATTTTGGTAAATTTTGCATGGCGACACACCTTCCTCATCTTGTTTCCTGTAGGTCCACATCATTCTTTGATTTCCAGTGCTCTGCAAGCTGATGAACAGGTCATCCAAGCCAATCTGTCAAGGTGTTTAACTGGCACACAGAAATTGACCCCAAAATTTGGGCAGCTTTACTGGACAAATTGTTTGCAAATCACCATAGCAGGTGAGTTTCACCAATGTCAATGCAAGCTTGTTCTCTATCAAGAGGAAGCCAACAGCTCATTTGTCATCTTTACCCTTCGTTTTTCTGTATACCATCTCCCGGAAGCTTGCTAAGATCTTGTTCTCTCTCTTCCGCCTCTCCTCCTGGTTGAAGGATGCTAGGGCTCTCTTCTCATCCGCACTGTAGATCTGGTTCTCTTTACGGAGACGCACGGCTTCCATTCTCCGATGCCTTAGGAGAAACACAACGCTCATCAAAATCCAACCAACGTTCAACCTTGCCTGCTGTGCAACTAGCTATGGAGGACTTTCTTCTCTACAACACCAATTTTTATTAAGCTCCTCCACCCCAATGTGTAATAGCCAAGGAAAAGATATTTTCTACAGTAAAACAGACCTCATCAGAACACCCACCTGCTGCCACTCATTACGTAGCCAGACTTTTCAAATGATGCAATCTCTTCACTGGTTAGGCCAATTTCACCTCTCCGAGGGATGCGTTTCCCAGCTTTTACATACTCTGCCATGGCAGCACCTTCACCAGGGAGCAAGGCATGTCCATAGCTTTAAGAGACAGAGAGAATGCAATCCCAAATGTAAGTATAGCTCCTTCCAAAAAGCACTGAAGCAACCTGCTAAATCTACATAGGGTCTATTTACAATCAGGCAGTCCAGACCGGAACCATTTACACAATGCAAATGTAAGCAAAGGCTGCAAAGAAATGCATGGTTTTAAGGAAAAGGTTCCAGCACACACAGAATGTGCCATACAAAGAACCCCAAATCAGTGAGAGACACCTAAACCATGGATCCCATCTCTGATCTTCTGCTGCCACATTGTACTTTCCCCCCATGTCCCTGCCTTCTTAGGTGGACACAGTAAAAGACAACAGGCTTTCCCCCACCACTGTCCAAATCCTTTGGCTCCTTTCTCCCACCCTACTTTCTCCTTCGTTTTAAAGCTGTTTTGCCTTGGCAAGACCAAGTATACATCCAAGATGGACAACACTAGCCCATTGTACATTCCCTGCACCTGTTCTGTGGATTCTCTCTTGTACTCCATAGACTCCCTCACGTGTTTCTAAAAGAGGTGCAAGTCTTCCAGTCCCAGCACAGGTCTTCTCAGTACAAACAGCAGCTGCAATATCACAGTGCAGAGCAGCTTTCAAAAGGCTGCAGAACAGTGCTCTTTCGAATTGCTAGTGCGTGGATCAGGCTCTGATTGGCCAGTTGACTATAACTTCAATCCATGCTGTCCACCCATGAAATGAGCCATATTCTTGGATGATGCAGTGGCTAAGAGAATGAGCCGGGAAGTCTCCAAATCAAATCACAGTCTAGTCAAGCAAACAACCCAGCTGGCCCAATGGAAGCTGTAATTCTTTCAATCTCATCTTTCATTAATAATATGAGGGATGACATCAAATTAAGATTGCCAAAATGACGTTACACTCAAGAGTACTATGCACATGATGTATCACAGCTGGATTCATACTTTGAAATCTTGGGATTTCAGCCACCCACACAAGGTACTGCACTTACTTCAAAGGTCGGTCATCTTGAGAAGCATGAGTAATGGGAGCTTCAGGTCCTATGAAATCCACACCATCTGTGTTTTCTGCAGCACAGAGAGAAAAATAAGCTAGCACAAAGCCTTCTGCTTTCCATAAAGCATGTATAAAAAAACCCTCTTTAGCATAAGTGTACATTTTGCTCCACAATATCTGTGGCCTTGCAAACAGAGCACTTCAAAGCTCATGGCTGTCCACAACCCTTCAGTTTAGTGGAGAACACCGTCACAAAGAAGGTTACCAATTGGAATAGTTTTTTGCCAGGTATGAAGAGCAAACCTACTTACTTGATCTCTCAATCCAGAGCTCATCCCCTTTCAGTGCTTCGTCATCAGAATCTTCACTGCTTGAATCACTGGAGTCTTTCCTGTTCTTCTTAGACTTCTTTTTCTTAGACTTCTTTCTGTTGAAAAGTGAGATAGGGTAAGTTTGCAATTCAAAATGGGGGTGAAAATGTTGCTAAGAACAAGTGAAATGGTTTGGTCTGTTATCTCCGCAAAGTGATTAACACAGCCAATCAGCAGGCTACAGGAAAATAAAGCAACAAGATTTCTATAGGAAGTCAACTACTCCCTAAGATTTATAATAATAATCATCTTTCAATTTATTAATCGCTCAATCCTGCAGAGCTTGCTGGCTCTGAGCGATTTACAGTTACTCATTTACGCGGGACTAACTGATTTATGGGGGTAAGGGAGGACAACATATATCTTATTTAAATCACACACATTCACAGTCGGCGAGGGTTTGTCCAGCTGCAGGGTCAGACATGTTCCGTTGGCATATTCACTTCAACTGGGCTAGATGACATCAGCTTCTCCAGGTCTTGCAGCGCCACACTGCCACTGCCTGGCTGGAAAGGCCCATTACAGGCTTCTCGGAGTCGAAGCGATTTTTCTTAGGCTTTCAATCTTGCGAGCTGAGCATTCCGGTCGCTGGCTAACACCGCCCCCACCAGGGGGGGAGGGGTTGGTGTGCCCACCCTCTCTAAGGAGTGGTACCCATTTTATCTACTCGCCGAAGCTTTCGAACCGCTGGGTGGATGGCGAGCTAGGGACAAGGCTGGTAGCTCACACCAACACGGGGCTAGAACTGACAGCCGTACTGTTCAGCTCAGATGTTACTAACCAGAGGATAAATCTGGTTATTTATGCATACAGAACACAGCATGCAGCAAAAGGAGAACCTGGACCATCCACCCTGAAGCCTGTGAGATGATTATTATAAGAAACATAGAAACTTAGCACTCCCATCTTTCTAAGCCCCTTAATTATAGTCCCCTTCCATACTCCCATGCCATTCATTATAACAACTTTGACCAGAATGTTGATATAACTGGTAATGGTATGCATTGTACAACGGAAAAGGAGGAAAGAAACAATACAAAAAGGGGTAGATGAGAGCAGAATTTGTAAACAGATCTCTTTGAGACACAGAGATTTTGGCTTTTCTGATGGGCAGATGAAGAAACAGCTACTGCTGATTCTGCTGCAACAGAGCACGACACAGACCCAAAATGACAGAGAGTGTAATACAAGATTTTAGAAAATGGTTTTACTTACTTTCTGTGCTTCTTTTTCTTCTTCTTGGCTTTCTTTTTTTCTTCCTCATCTGAAATGTCAACCAGAAAAGAAAAAAATAATAAAGGAAGGGAAAAGGCATAAAATATTTCAGGGCAAGCAGAATGGAGAATTTCACCAGTGAATGCCAATTATACACATGCTGGTCTGCTGATCAGTGAATTTTATCCTTAGAAACTCACAAACATGTCTGGACATACACAAAAGGCTCAGACTTCAGTATGCTGTAGTTTGCAGTTAACTAAGAGCATGCATGCCTATACTAAAAAAGCATACACTGTCTGAAACTGTTTTTTAAATGCCAAAGTTTCCACCCAAGGAACTGTAATTCTGTAAGTTATAGATCTCTGCCAGAGAATCTGCATGAGTCTCAAGGAACTCCTGTTCCCAGAGTCACTTAAAAGCCACAGCAGCTAAACATTTTCAGCATAGATCACCCTTTACAGGTCACTAGCTTCATCCTATTCATGTTTGCTCTTAAATAAAAGTCCAAGTTTAATGAAACCAGGGTCTCAAAACAGATGAGATGTTGGGAGATCTGTGAACGCTGCTAGCATTCATGCCTTTATAAAAATCAGGAGCAAGGGCTCCCAATTTGATCAGGGACCACTACTTGAGGGGAGGGAGGAGTTTATTTACAAAATCTATATCCCAACTTTTGGCCCAATAAGGGCCACCAAGGTGGCTAATAATTAAAAGCAGAGTATTATAAAACATGTTATAAAATCAACAAAAATCAAAAATAAAATACATTTATAACAATATAGAAGCAGCAATTAAGACCTAGGTCAGGGGAGGGAGCAACAAACAGAACCAAAAAAATAAATATGCCTCCTCCCCACATTTCCCCTGAGACAGCCCTTGGGAGCTGTGTTTATAAGCTTCCAACACCATGTATCTTTGACTTATGCTATTGCAGTACTACACTATAGTGAGCACGAGAGCAAGACAATGGCTACGAAAATAAGATATTATCCAATGCAGTTCACCTCCAGCAGATCTCAGGGTCTATTGGAGCAATACTCATATATTGTACAGTTAGAATATGATTTATCTATCCTTATCCAGATCTCTTAGTGATGCAACAGAGGTCCTGAAGCCTGGATGCTGTGATTAAGTAGCTGAGTGAACAAACTGAAACTAAACTCTGAAAAGACAGAGATAATGTTCAGAGATCTCAAAGAACATTGTGCTCCCCACTTCTGATGGGAGTTCAGGTGACCATTGCTGATTCAGTTAAGAGCTCTGAAGTTATTTATACTGAACCCAACATTATTGTTGGTCAAGCAAGTTAATGCAGCTGCAAAAAATGCTTTCCTCCAACTCAACCTAACCCATAAGATGGTCCCTTTCCTTGAAAAGGCTGATATGGCCACCAGGACTCATGCCACAGTCACATGGAGACTACAGTAATGCACTGCACAGTGGTCTGCCTTAAAATCAACTTGGAAACTTACTTGCATTCAGCACTCACTGTTGGCTGCCCATCAGTTATTGGGCTCAATTTAAGGTATTCACTGTCACACACAAAGGCCTTCAAGGCCTTGGTCCCTCATATCTGTGGGACTACCTCTCCCCCTATGCTCTGCCATGACAGCTTCACCCATCTGTGCAGGGCCTTCCGCAGGTGTCAACCTGCAAATGTGCAAAACCAACAACTGCCCATACACAGGTGTTCTCCACTGTGGCTCCACCTTATGGAACGGCCTCTCTGAGGAGGTCGGGAAGGCTCCCACTCTCCTGGATTTCCACGAACCATGCAAAACTCAATTATTCAAGAGGGTTTTTCTATGCAGGTAGCACTGTGCCAAATGGTTCACAAAGATACTTGGATAATTGTTTAGGAACTGTTGCCTATACTATTATGTATAGCTTGCTGTTAAGTAGGACCCCGCTATTTAATTTGCATCATTTAATAGGTCATGTTAACACTTATGCTTTACTTCAGCTCCATTTTTAGATTTCTGGTTGGTTCCAGATTTCTACAATCCTAATCCTAGGACAGTGTTTACTGAGTGTCCCATCCTGTTGATTGTATCGACTGTGTGATCCGCTTGAGGCCCAGTGAGAAAGGCAGTCTATAAACAACGTAAATAAAAATAAAAAGAATAAGCACTACTAAAAAAAATTATAGGACCAGTTATTGCTCACGTAAATTGTAGACAAAGGAAAAAAATAAGATCCCTTTTATGGACACATTCCAAAAGAAAAAAAATCTTATCACAAAGAGCAAATTAAGTAAGATTCCCATACACAAGAGGCAAACCTCATACTAGAGGCAGACATTCCACACAATTAGCACACACATACGTGAAAGAGCTTTTCTTTTCTTCTTCTTCTTTTTTTTCTTCTTCTTCTCCTCTGAAAGACATTTGAAAAGAGTATTTTATAATTAAGTCAAACAGTTCATTCTAATAATGTTATTCTTTGGGTTGCCAGTTCCAGACTCAGGAAAAGAAACTGTGACATACAAGACATTGGTTTGGGGCCAACCAAGTTTTCTGCTGCTGCAAAAGGGGGGGGGGAATCCCCCTTTGATTCTCCCAAAAGGCTATGTTGTGCATCATGAGGCCTGCTTGGACAAAAGACATGAGGGATGGGGGATGTAATAAGGAGGGTAATCAGATGAGATTGAGTGAGAAAGTTGGCTGGAGCCAAGCCATTATTACTGCCCTAGATGCAGAAACTCACTCATATAAGACGAAACTAGATTCTTGCTTTCCACAAATGGCAGTAGAGAACAGGTGAATTTTTCATATTTTGTTTTACTTCATGTACATCCCACTTTTATCCAAAATGGAAACCCAAAGCCGCTCACATCATTCTCCTCTCCTCCATTTTATCGTCACAACAACCCTATGAGTTAGGTTGAGCTGAGAAGGTGTGACTGGTCCAATGGTTACCCAGAAGCTTCCATGGCAGAGCAGGGATTTGAACCTGGGTCTCACAGGCCCCAGCCCAACACTCTAACCACCACAACACCCTGGCTGTCTTCTGAATGAACCTATGGAGTACAAGGCTGGGAGATGCCATTCCTAAATAAAGTATCCAAAACTGTTAAGGCAACAGGAGTTCTCCTGGATCAAGCACTGATGATGGAACTTGTTTTTGTGATTCCATTTGTAAAATCACAGTGCTAAGAAGGTAAGGTTACTCAGTGCCTCACAAATATTACTGATGTTTTATAACAATCTTTAATCAACTGAGAATACCTTCTGAACTGGAATCAGAAGAGCTGCTTTTTTTAGATACTCCATCTTCATCTTCTACTGGGGTATGTTCATCAGAACTAGGTTCAAAAACAGAACACAATCAGTATTTGATTTGCACAGATAAAACATAATAGACACAATCGCTGCAAAAATCATATAGCAAATATCAATTAATTACTTAAGTGGGTGTTCTGATAAATAGATGAGTATGCTGGGTTCTAAACTGTCAACATGTTTTTGGATCAGGACTAGTTTGAGATGGAGAATTACACTTAAAAATGTAAGAGAACAAAAGCAAAATGTAAAATGTATTTCACATTATTGTTATGGAAAAGAAGTATACAAGAGAAAAGGAAACCAAGATTAAAATCAACAGTACTTACTCTGGGTCTGGAACCTTTGGTGACAATCCCCAAACTTCAGGTGCTCCAAGTTCACCTATTCTCTCTCTCTCATTTAACCTCCTGTAAAAGATACATCTCTGTTAAAACCCAGAACACTGTATTATGTATATAAGAACACAACATAGGCTTACAAATCACAGGCATGCAATAATGCTTTAAAATATCTATGCTACAAAGCTAAATATAAGATGCATGTTTCCCACTGGAGTTCTATGTCTATTTATTGATAGAATGTTTTTTCTTTCTGTTTTAATTTCCTTTCAGCTGTCCTACAGCAGATCTGAACCCAAGCAACCATCAGTTAAGCCTCTGGCACCACACTTAGGGCAGCTTCGTCCCACTACAATCACTATTAACCCAATCCTACCTTATGTCTATTCAGACACAAGTCCTGCTGAATACAACACAATTTACCAGCAAGTAAATGCATATAGAACAGCAGCTCAAGATCAAAGCCAATCTGAGCATGAGCACAATAGCTGAAGTCATCTTGTACAACACAGCCTAGACCTGCAGCTCTTAGAACCCAAGAAATAACCTTCTGCCTATGAAGGTAGCACAAGGATAAGGAAACCTTGGAGAGAGGCTGGAATATTGATGGTTTTGGTGTACTGGGGAGAGGAGGCCAGTGTCAGCCCAAGTGTTTTTATGTCTTTAAATTGCCTGGGGTATAGGTTGCCACTTTACTGTTACTTCATTTTCAGGCTAAGCAAGCATAACACCATTCACAGTTATAAGGAGAAGAGGAAATCTGATACTGCAGAAAATCTCTCATTTACTGGTCACAGAAAATAATACTATATAATGTTCACAAACATAAAGCACAGAGTCTTGAATGATAATCTGGCATTATAAAAAGGACTGTATCCAGCAGCTGGCTTTGAGGGCTCTCCCCCTGCCCAAATGAAAGAAACACGTTAAGTTTAATATGAAAGACATTCAGTTTTACAAACAAGGGGCTTTTGAAGATCATTTTTGTGCTTTAAGAGAAGCGTGACCCAAAGAAAGAAGCAGAGGAAGCTTTTCCTAACATTGGTTCAGCATAGTGTAGTAGTTAGAGCATCAGTCTAGAACCTAAGTTTAAAACCTCAGCCATGAAGCTCACTGGGTGAACTTGGGCCAGTCATTGTCTCAGTCAAACCTATCCTCACAGGATTGATAAAGTGATAAAAATGCAGAAGGGAAGAGACAGTGGATCACGTATGAGGCCATAAGCTTTTGGAGATAGGAGGTGCATAAAAGTATATAAGTACACAGGCAGAAAAAGTTTACCTGTTGCCAAGCTGTCGATCAAGGAATGTGAAAAGAATGAGTAAGGATTTATTTAATTGCTTGTTCTGCTACTTTGGGAATAATTTTGTTGTTGGAATGCTGGGCAAAATACAATAAAAATTAAAATATTTCAGCAAGATCTCTGTCCAGGCATACTGGAAGGGTGCCTGGTGTATGCCTGCTTTCCTTCTGGTCTCACTGATGGGAAGGGAACTCCCTCCAGAGCTAGACAGAGTGGAGAGATTCTGATAGCTTCAAAAATTACATCTGGGGGCTGGATGAAAGGTGTGTGTGCAGGGGAAAGTTGGAAGCCATCAGCCTGTAGGCTGAGTATCTACTCTGAGGCCCAGAGTAATGGCAAAGCCCAGCAAAGGCTGCGGTCACACGCAACATTAGCCACGCAAGAGATACGGAAGACAAGCGGAGTTTCCGGTCGCGATCTCACCAGCACATCTGGGAAGCGTAGTGCTTCCGTGGCACAACTGAGGCTTCCTGCCGAAAAAGCGCAGCAAAAAACTAGTACCTTGGAGGTACTAGTTTCCAGAAACTGCGGGGCAAGGGCGGGCGTCTGATCGCGTTTCCGGTGGTATCCGGCGCCCGCCCATGTCCCCTTGCGGAAAAGGGTTTTTTTCCCCCACGTCTCCGTGGATGCGCACACGCACCCAACGGAGCATGCGCATTCGTAGTGTACACAAAAAAAGAAAACCAGTTCGCCGCGCCGCGCGCTTCTTCATTGCGCGCAGGCGTGTGTTGTGATCGGCACCTCTCCCTTGCCATGGAACCTCCACAGTACCTCCACAGAACCTCCACAGTAGGTCTGATCGCTTTACTGCATGTTAGTTTGCCCCGGGGCAAACAGCCACACTTCTCCTCTGCAGTTTCCTGTCCGTGTGGCAGGGGCCAAAGAGTACTGAGAGCAGAAGCATTTAATGTTCAGTGTAGTATAAAACAAAGACCATCCCAAGCTTCTTCTAGGTATCTAGAGCTGCCCTGCTAATAAAGGCCGTGCAAGAGCCAGCATGGCAGCAGGTGCAACTGACCAATGCCTGATTATTAGGTCCCTCATCTCCCAGTTCAAACATTAAGATTGGGTCAAGAGCCCAATCACTCTTAGCCAGAACTAACCTACCTCACAAGGTTGTTGCCAGGATTTAGGGTGTGTGACGTGCACATATAGATCCCACTAAAGGAATGAAGTGGGAGGCAGGCCTTTTCAGTAGTGTGTCTTTCTTTCAGTGCCTAATGGCTCTGAAACAGAATATTTTAGGACTTTATTTAGGACTAACAGTCCAGCAATAGTAGAGTCTTCTTTTCATACTGTCTATTCTAGAAACGAAAATATTTGCTCAGAATAATGAGCTTGGTAAACTTACGTTTGAAAATGTTCTCTCTAGATGCAATGCATTTGTTAATGCAAGTATTAAAGGTTCCTATATAACTTATTTTTGAACTCTCAGTTTGAATCTATGGCCTCTGACCCTACCCTCTTTCTTGGCTTGGCCCTCCCCCCAACTGAGAATAAGCTGCCCCTGGGAGCACTGGGAAAACGGGACTTCTCACTCGCCTCTGTCGCAGCGATTCCTCCTGCTCCTTGCCATAATGCTCCGGCCCATGTCGGTGGCTAAAGTGGTGTGGAGGACCAAGACGCTGCCTGAAGCCATTGCGCTCGCGGGACCGAGACCTAGAGCGGGACCTCCTGCTACTCCGGCTAGACCTTGGCGGGGAAGGGCTGGCCGAGGCAGCGGCCCGTCCCCGCCGAGAGGAGGGAGACGCCGCTGGGCTCCTCGACCGCGACACCGGAGCCATCGTTTGGCAATCCTCCTCTCGCTCTTCAAAGTTGTAAGAGCCTCTAAAGCCAACTAGGCCACGGTGACTTCCGGATACGTACAGACTCACAACACTATTTTTCCTTCCGGGGGGGTTAACGTCACTTCCTTTCTAGACCCAGCAACCGTTATCACAGCTCCACTTCCGGTTCTTTGAAACCTATGTTCCCATGGCGACGGGGGGAAAAGTTAGAGTAGCGCGCAGTCCCCACTCTCTGTTTGCATCGGAACGTCGCTTAAATGAGACTGAGAGAGAATTTTTTTTTTTGAGATTTCTATGAAAATGGGCTATGGAAAAGCTCAATTATCCATGGCGCTCTCTATCTGTACACTGCACTCATTCGTCGGCCCGCAAATTAAATCTGGAATTGCTCCTATTGCTTCGTCAGGTGTGTAACGGTTCCAAACGGAATGGAAACGCAAAGGAACGTGTATAGGTATTCCTTTCCCGCTCCCTCACTTCCTGTCCGCTCCTAAACTCCTCCGGCGATCTTGGGTTAAACCACTAAAGTCTCCCATCTCTGTAGCTTCTCTCTACATCCGGGTGTGTCACATTATATTGCTCATGTTGCAACAAAGCTGCTCTGAATGGGTTCCTAGAGGCGGTTCCTTTGTGCTTGGATGGGCTGCAGCCCCTGGAGACGATGGAGCCTGGCGCCATGACCGAGGCGGGAGGCAAGACTCCAGGTAAGGGCATCCCACCCTCCCTCCCGGCCATTCAACTGGCCCTGTTCCACGGAGATGTAACTAAGGAGCTCCACCAGTTACTGAAAACGGAAAGGCGGGGAGAGAGTTTTGTTGCGGCTTCTTTGATCCAGTACCTTTGGATCAATGGGAAAGCCCGAAGGGCCTTGGCACGAGTTCCTTGCGCTGGTCTCTCTTTTGCGGAGCAAAGGTCCTGTGAGTCCCGTTATCTTCTGCAGCGCTCGCTACATTCTCCCCGAGAGGATTCCTCTGATGTTCTGAGGCTCTGATTAGGATAATGTGGAATAAAGACAGTTCTTTCAGTGCAAGGAGCATTTCCGTTAATGTTTTAACGCGTTTAGTAAATAGCCAGAAATGGTCCACGCGTTTACAAAGGAAGTTCTCTCACTGAATTACAAAAAAAATGGCAATATTATTTCAAAGCTAAAAGCGTAAAAAGGGATTTTGTGTGTGTGTGATCCATAAAAACACTTCAGGTGATCTTTGGAGTTTCGTGATCTTTGGAGACTTGAACTTAAAAGTGTCTGTACTGGTTTGAATGTTATGAAGATTTAGTGCTTGATTCCTTGTGCTGTAATTGCTTAGCATTTATATAGCGTGTTACACAGTTCTGAGTGCTTCAGAAGTACATTAGCCTGTTGCAATCTTTACATCACCCTTGTAAAGGGAAGCTAGTGTAGAGATGGGAGTTTTAGGCTGAAAGACAGAAAGTATGGCTTGGCTATATAGCTACCTATTAAATCACAGCTGAGATGAAGTTTGAACCAGGACCTCTTAGCTACTAGGGTCCTCGAACTCACAGTTGGTTTTATACCCCAGTTGTAAGCAACTTCCAAGAAGTATTTTTCATCTAAGGATTAACCGTGTTCATTTTTAGCTGAGACATTTTTGCAAGTGTTAATTGCCCTGTCCCCAATTTTGTGTGAGATGAGGAATCATCACTCGAGGCAACCAAGCACTACATTTGAAACCTGTTTTACTGGGCTAGTATTAGGTATGATGTAAGTACTGTCCTGTTTTCAGAACAACCAGTAGAGCTACTTGTTGTGGAGTCACAGATTGTGAAACAGTCTTAACAAGCTCTACCACCACTTTTTCCTCCCTTAACAGGGAACTTTAACTACCAAGAGCACCAGTGAAAGGTGTTGGGGATAGGGAGGAATATTGGAAATGTTTGTCCAGGCTGAGGAAGTGATCAGGCAAGCTAAAAGTGGCAGTTCTCATCCATTACTACTTCTGCAACAGAACAAACTTTGTCCAGTGGCACCTTTCTAACCAAAAAAAGTTTTATTCAAGGTGAAGGCTTTTATGTGCATGCATACTTCTTCAGCTACAATCAAATGGAAATTACTAGTCCATACATATAGGTAGTGAGTGAGCAGTAAATTAGCACACAGCATAATGAAGATGTTTCACAGATTCAAGGACCAAACAGATTTATATGGTTACCATTTGTTTGGGTTTAATTTCATGGGAAAACATAGTGAAGGAAATAAATATGTCAGAGTTGGAGATTTGGGCAGATGTATCCTTAATTGTGTGGAATGCTGAGAGTAATTAACTGAGACTCTGCCATTATACTCCATCCGTCTCCTCTCAAGCATGGAGATGATTTTACAGCATCATCTTCTTCTTCTTTGAAGTGGGGCGATTGGCTGTGTAGAGTTATCTCCCTGGCTGTGTAGAGTTATCTCCCCTGTCCCCGGACCTAAGAAATACATTCCAGTCTACCATTGCAAATTATATTACATTCTACTACTCATTACGTTACATTACAATCTACTGATCTATTATTCCAGATAAGAAATAAAATAAGGAGGCTGTCTGGCCCTTTTGGGGGGATGTAAGGGCTAAATGAGGTTAGCATATGTAGTGAGATAATAAACCGATATCCCTGTTAAATCCTGAGGATTCCATTGTTCTGAGTGTTGTAATAACTTGCAACTCAGCAATTCCTCTTTCTAGTCTGTTCCTGAAGTTCCTGGATCTACCTCTGCAAAAAATCACATAAGCAGCCTTAATCCCAAGGTCTCTAAGGGTGTAGAGCTGAGAATGAGAAAAACCTTGGAATACCTGGATGGTGATGTGAAAGAGACTTGGGCTTGGAAACAAAAATACATTTGAACAAAGGATGCCAACAGCTTCCATAAATAATGGATTTTTTCTTTATATTGCGACATGGTACCTAGCACCCACATGGTCAGAATTTTTGTATTGTTTGCTTAGGAGTGGATTCACAAACTGCAGAAGTAGTCCTTGAGAATAAGGAGCTCTGCTGCATTGGTGCTAATTACAGAAAAGCAAGGGACAGTAGAGACAACAAGTGAGTGGCATAAAATGGACTTAGGTTGCATTTTACCAGAAGATGTAATGATGGTTCATTAGCTCAGATGGCATTAGGAGATCAGACATGTTTGGGGAGCTGTAAACAATAGTTGTTAGGTGTTTAAATTTATTATGTGTGTTGTATATGACACATTTTTCTCATGAGCTGCTTTGGAGACTTGAGCCAGTGTGGTCTGGGGAGACTCCAGTTCAAATCCCTGCATGCCATAAAACTTATTGAGTGATCTTGGGCCATTCAGTCTCAGCATAACCCACCTTACAGGGCTGTTGTGAAGATAAAATGGGCAGGTTACCAAAGTATGCCTTAGCTCTTGGAAACAAGGACTGGATGAAAATACATTAAATAATAAAATCCTGTTAAAGCATCAAATAGATCAATAAATGATGAGTCCCCTATGTTCAGAGGCAGTGCCTCTGAACACCAGCTCAACACCAACTAATAAAAGGTAAAAGCAAGAGAAGGCTCATTCTCCGTTTATGCATTTCCTGGAGGCATGTAGTTGTTCTTACATTCTCAGATCTAAACACACTTACTAGAGAGTGAGTCCATTGACCTCAGTTTCTGAGTAAGTGGGGCTGGCAGTCAGTGCTCCCTCTAAGCTGTGGAGTCTTGTGAGCAAATATTCTACTTTGTGAGCTGCTGGCATTAAAGTTGTGAGCAAGCAATTTGGCTACTGCATAAATTAGTTTGCTCTGGAGCCATCCTTCCTGAGCTAAGACAAAAATGTGTGAGCCAGAGGCTAAAAAACTGTGAGCTAGCTCACTCTAACTCAGCATCACTGCGCAATGCAATGTCACAATTTTTTGGTCAGTTGCTTGAAAGCCCACACTTGCTTTTTGCTATGACAATATTTCAAGGATTGGTCTCTGGTTCCAGTTCTCCGGAGAACACCACAAAGCACTTTCAGAATTCAGTAAAGAACTCAACGACTATGAATTCTCCAGGGCTGCTAGAAGGGAAGCTACATTTGCAAGCCAAGCAGTGAGTCATTTCAGATGAACAAGTCTTCTGAATAGGTGCTGTCAACCTACTCAAGACTGAATGTCAGTAGGAGATTAAGCTGAATAGAGACTTCTGCTTCCTGGGCCATTACACCAATGTGTTTTCAGTCAATCAACATCTTTTTGACGTGCTAAGTATAAGTTGATTGTAAGACCCTAAGTTAATTTATTTTTATGTATTCAAAACATTAATTAGGTGCCTCTATCTCTTATAGAACACAACACGGTTTACAGTATAAATAAAACATTATTGAAAAACCCAATTTAAAAAGTCAACAATTTTAAAAACTCCAATTAGGACTGCCAATAATTAAAACTAAATAAGTCAAATGCCATCCTAAAAAAACCTATCTAACTGCCTCCTTAAGATCAATAAAGAGGAGGCTGGGTGCACCTCCCTGGGGAGATTGTTCCATAATTGTTGGGCTGCCACCAAAAAGGACGTCTCTTTCAGTGACTTCAAAAGAAAATTAAAGCATATAACATCTATACTGAACCAGTGTTATCTGCTGTGTCATACTACCTTTGTTGAGGCTGAAAGCATCTGTCTAGAGTAAAATGCAAGGCAAAAGGGTATCCAAGGTCCCGGTCACACGGGATACTGCGTCGCTGAAGGGAGACAAATTTGAGCCAGAGCAAAATGAACCACGGTAGTGTGATCCGACGTGCCCCCATGGCTCCGTGCTCCAGTCTTTGGCAGGCGATCAGATGTAGCTCGGCAAAATGGACGTTGCATGTTTGTGCGCATGTGTGGAACGGGGAATGGCGCTGGCTGCGACGGGCTACCAGCGCTTCCCCAATCAGACACCTGGAGTTGCTGCGCGTCATCCGAAAGGTAGTGCTCTGTTGCCAGTACCTTTTCAATGTGTGTTTTCGGGCCGAAGGGACGGATTGGGGACGGATGCGTGACGCTTCCTAAATGTTGCAGTATGATCGCGCCCATTTGATGCGCCAACCCATCCGTTTCGCGGGGCAAATCCTCCCGTGTGACCGGGGCCCAAATTACTTTTTCGGTTTCATGCTTTTGTATTGACATCCTGCAGCTCAGTCAGTAATTCCAATTCTATTTATTTATTTACAAAATACATATCCTGCCTCTGTGCCCTTATAAGGGCCACCAAGGTGGCTAATAATTCATGATAAAATGACATTATAAAGCCATTAAAATTACCCTTCCTCCCAAATATACATCATTTAAAGAACTTTAAAAGTTTTAAAAGAACACTTAAAATACATACACAAGTTAAATTAATTAGCTGCAACATATTGCTTCTAAAAGGGCAATACTTTTTAAATATAATCTGCTGCACTGAAATTATTTTCAGTGGTTTCCGGAATAAGCCTGTTTGAGCAACTTGCTTCACACATCCCACTTACTTCAGAGTAGTCCTCTTAAAGGCCATTGTAGCATTTTTACCCTGGTATGTTGCCAACATAAATTTGCAGAGAGGTTAAATGATTGTAGCTACATTTCTAAAGACCCTTTCCGGATAATAAGCCCCTCTGAATAAAATAGGGCTTGTTTAAGGCAAGCCTTATTTAGAAGGCACGGAACGTCGATTTGTACAGCACATATAATGGAAGGTTTATTTTTAAAAAGTGTTCTGAGGAATCTCTATATCCCGCCTTTCTCTCCTTATTTAAAACGGGGGCTTGAAACAAGACAGGAGGAGCAGTGATTTAAAATTGTTCTCACGCAATCCTTTGCCGGTCGTTACGTCGTTACACAGATGTCATTTGTCAAGAAACCGTGCCTAAGCACTATCATATTAATGCTGGGGGGGGGGAGAGAGAAAATAAAATAAGCAACACTAGGTGCGAGCCTTAGACACGCGTGGCGCAAGGCCTTGCTTTCCTTTCACAGGCGGGAGGCTCGCTCGGGTATTTCCGTGCACCTCCGGCTTTCCAGGCGTCTGGAGTTCTATCATGGCGGAAATGTCCGAAGTGCGCCTCGTGCACTCGGGTCTGCTCTCGAAAAGGACCGAGAGCCGGCTTTTTCTCACCCTCGTGCCGAGCGATCCCGAGCAGAGCCGAGCGCTGCCCGAGTCACGGCTGCAAAGCGCCGCGGCATCCGGGCGGGGGAGGGGGGCGTTCGGCGAGAGCGAGTAGGTGAGCGGCCGGCCTCGTTGCGTGGCGGAAGGAGCGTGGCTGGCAGCTGGAGGAGCCGAGGTAACGGGCCTGTTTGGTCCTCCCTGCGCCGTCCCGGGTGGGGCCCCGAAGCCGCGGGCCGGTCTTGCTCATCACACGGGCCGGAAGCGTCGGCGCTCTGACCTCGCCTCCTTTGTGCGGCCGCCCGTTCCTATCGCCCCCCCCCCCTCAGCTTCTTCAGAGGGGGGCGCGGCAGGCGGGGGGCGCAGAG